TTTTTTGGTCCCTTTTTTTTTTTTTTTTTTTTTTTGACTTTTTTGAAAAAATATGCAAAATAGTAGAGAGAAGATGTGATCTAAAAAAGCCCAAAAAACTACTTTTGACTATATTGCCAAAGCAAGCCAAAAAAAATTAGCCAGTATTCATCCATTCTCGCCTATCCTCACTCTTTGGTTGCCCTGTACCCTCGATGGCTATCCACTACATCACTTTTTGCAGTTTAATGACATTTAAAAGTACCACAAAACTATTATTCTAATGATATTTTTTAGTCTAGTGGCATTTTAAATAAGTGTCATTTATACCTGTACCTGTGCCACGGTAGATACTAGTGGCACCTTAGTGACACTTGCAAGTGCCATTACACTATCATGGCTAAAAAATTTCAATGACACTTTGATATTATGATAGACACTATTTATGACACTATCAAGCGCCACTAAAAAAAGTCTTAATGACACTTCAGTAACACTTGTAAGTGCCATTACACCATCAGGGTTAAAGACTTTCAGTGACACTTTAATGTCATGGTAGATACTATTCGTGACGTTATCAAGTGTCATTAAAGAAGACTTCCAAGCTAAAAAATGTCACTAAATGGATTTTTAATGGCGCTTATTATGCCATAATTGATATTTTTAACAATTTCATAAATGCCACTAAATCCAATTCATTTGTGCCATTAAATGGATATAAGTGCCATTGGAATATATTCTAGTGACACTTTGCAAAGCTACTACCACTACTACAAAATGCCACTTATATGTTCTTCTCATTGACACTTTTAGAAACCACAACTAAGCATGTGTACCTGTAAAAATTGAATCAATTTTATAAACAATTGAATATTAATTGTCACATCCTATATTAATTTGACATCCATTCATTCTGTAATATTTTCATAATAATAAACAAATATTACCACCATAGGATCATCACATCAAAACCACAATCATTTTTTTTCTAAAAATATAAATTTATTTATATTGTAATAAAAATCATAATCAAAATTATAAAATATTCTACCATACTAACAAAAAAAAAAATTAAAAGAAAATTATTCCAACTATAAGTTCTGAAAAGCTATAATGATATCCATCTTCCAAAGAGACAGTATCAAAACAAATTCAGTTTCCAAATTCTCAACCTCACTTGTAGAAATATTCCCGGCTAGCATCCTTAACTTGCGAAATCTGCATCCAAAAGATAAACATATAAAGGTAATTGAAACTATATTAAGCTAGTATAAATTTGTTAATGAAATTAGAATTTACGAAAGAAATATACCATAAATGGAGCAGGCCAAGTAACATGAGTTCCAATAGCTTGTCCAACTGTTTTGACAAGTCCATATGATCGGATCAAGCTCTCATTAGGTTTGCCTGACACATGAACATAGACCTCCCAATAGTCAGGTTCTGGTTCTTCCCCTTCTACTTCTTTAGATGTGTCTGTGCTTTTAAGTACTCCGATTGCAACTGTTTCTGTTGGCCTAATGATACTTTTTAGAACTATATCTCCCACCTGTAAATCAAGATTTAACTACTTAGGTAATTATATATTTAAAATTAATAAATAATATTTAAATAATAAACTAGTACAAAGTGTTAGAGTGAAGATGATCACAACTAAAAGTGATATTCATTTCTCTAGTAGATAAGCAAGCCACATGATTTAATCATTTAATTGATTCACCACACTACAAAAAATATATAAAAGTAACAATCGTAAGTTTTTAGACCATAGCAAACAATAGCTTAAAAATCAATAACAATCAAAGGCACCAATCAACAGCAATCAAAACCATGCCCATTACCAATATCAGGATCCCCTAAACTCAACAATGTAAATCAAATGTAATTGTGAAAAATGACAATCAACTAATTATTTTGAGGGAATCAGATCCATGCGGTAATAAATGATTGAGAGATGACTTGTAGAAACTTCACAAGAAAATTAAAAAAAAAAAAAAAATCCAAGTTTCCACTACAACATATAAGAGTTTTAGAGGCCAAATATTTTAGTCTCTAAAAGTAAAATTTTTGTTGCAAAAGACATTTTGGGACCAATTTCTATCATCGTGAGGACAGTCGCTAAAAAGTCGTCCCAAAAAGTAAAAAATAAGGCTTTTAGCGACAAAATTTTGAAAATGTCACTAATAAATAGACTTATAGGGATAAAATAATTTAGTCTCAAAATGGTTTATTTTTTGAGACAAAAAATTTGGTCCCAAATAGATAATAATTCATCATTAATGTCCAATTTTCGTTGCTAAAAATATAATAATGATATTTTTTGCAACAAAAATATTTGGTCCCTAAAAAATAATTGTCCCTGAATTTTGGTCCCCAAAACCTTAACTTTTTGTAGTGTTCGTTATGTCATGATTTTTACTATATAGCACATTTTGTGTAGATTCAAACAATGGAATTTAGGTCCACAATATTCATTCCTTGGTTAATTGTAAGACAAGTTTTGCATGCTATTCTAAAATAAAGCTGGAAGTAATGTGATATATATGATTAGCTCTTAGTGGGTACCTGAGTAAGAGAGGCATCTTGTATCGATGACAAGGACCATACTTGATGTCGAGCTGCCATCTCAAGAGGACTTGAAATTGTTGTCACCTAACCAAATTTGAACTAATTAATTTTACAAGCGCACACACATAGATATATGTATGTATATATATGTGTAGAAAAACATTAATAACTTATAAATTCTATTTAAAAATTTACCTGGTTAGATGTGTTTGTCAAGTTATTCGAAGCATGCTCAACATGGGAAGCTTTGGACCTTAACTCCAAATTTTCAGCTTTCATAGCATCCATTGTTGTGTCTTGGTTTGCTTTATTGGTGCATGACTATAAGGCAACTCATGTCAAGGGAAAACATGTAAAAGAATTTGTGAAGAAATATGTGAAAGACAAAAAGAGTATTATTGTGAGCATCAAGTTGAATCGAGTGAAAGCATTGTCTAACCCTTATAAATCAACTTTGGCAACTTGATGCCCTGGTGCCAAGGCATTTTAGCTCAAGGATAGTCCAATTTAAATCAATGCCAATTTCATCAGCTCTCTAGCATGTCCTTCTACTCTAAAATAAATAAACAAATAAATAAATAAATTGTCAAATGCTTAATTATATCACCAAAAAGTAAGTATACTACCTAGCAGTGATGCACTATCTTCTGTAGAAGAGATTTGAAGTTTACTACACTAGTTCCTTTAACTCATGTATACTTCTCCATAAAAAGGCTTTTACAAATTTTTAGCATAACAACTTGTTGCATCTAATGGTTAATCCGATGGAAATGATAAAAATGGTTGTTTTTTGTTTTTTTTGTTGTTTTTGTTGTTTTTTTTGAAAGATGAGTAGAGAGAATAAACTTAGCATGCTGATGCAAAAGTTAGAGATTTCCAGTTTCATTGTTTCATATCTTCTACCCCCTGATACACAAGTATCAAATTAATTGAATTTAACCTCACAGAATTGAAAAGGATTGTGAATCTTTGACAGCTAATGTATCAAGCAATACCCTCGTTTTAGAATCGCAATTCCACATGCTATAATCCCACCCAACTAGTGATTATCTAAAACATTACCTTTCGTAAACAAAATAATAATAATAAAAAATTATGCATTTACTGATTAATATTATTTATCTTGATCCATAGGCCAAAAATAGAACAACTCTGTAATTTTAAGATAGTTCATTGGATAACAATTTAATAAATTGTTGTGGGAAAAAGTTCTTGGAACATTCCTTTTTAAATGCTTTACTAGCCATACCTGGTTGGGTTTCTTAGAGGACTTAAAGGTCTGACATGTGGAATGGCATCAAATTGAAAGATGTCCTCTGACCATATAATATTCTACCTTGCTTCAATCAATTTAATGTAACTATGCAAGCCTTTTAAGGTGAAAATTAAGAAAAAGCATTCATATATGCAGGGGTGAGGAAACCACAAAGAATACCATCTCAACGAGTACATAAACCATCTCAACCCATCCATCAATATCACCAATCTCAATGAAGCATGTAAAGAAACACTTAGAATGTGTATATCAATAACAACTATTTGTAAGTTACGATTGACAAAAACAACTAAACTTGATTTTGCAAGAACTATAAGATACTAACAACTAATATTTTTCTAAAACATGCCACCAAATATTCTTTTTGAGACATTTTTTAAAACATGGCACTAGAATAATGTCACTAAAATGTGTTTTTGTTGTACACATATACAAAAAAACTAAAACTAAAAACCAAACAATTGAAAATTAATCTAACACGGTTTTTGATCCAATGGAATGAAAGTTAGAATAGAATGATATGTTTGTCACAATAGAATTAACATTCACTAATCTAATTAAAAGAATGGTAATTCTATTTGGAGATCAAGAGAAAAAACCATTTAATTAAGCTTACCTTGGAATTTATTCATTAAAAAAAATTATCAATTAAACAGAAAAGCTATGGACCCAGAAAAGCTATAGACCCAGACTCACCCACCCAGAATTTTTTGGGTGGGTGATTGTGTGATGAACTAGGAAGCACGGATATGGATACGATACGATATGGATACGACGATACGACAAAATTCGAAAAAGTAGGACACGGATACAGCGGGGATACGTTCATAAAAAATATTTTTTTCACAATTTTTAGTAATGTAGCATACACAAAAATAAAACTTCAACAATTTTCAGTAATGTAACGTAGATAAAATAAAACTTCAACAATTTTTAGTAATGTAGCATACATAAAAATAAAACTTAAAGCAAAAGACAACTTGATAAAAAAAGAAAGATTCCTATGAACTAAGAGTCTTCAACGTCAATAGGTTCAACTTGTTCCCCTTCATCAGTGAATATCACAGCTTCCATATCGGTTCATCAAGAGAAAGACTTGCAATTTCAAGTAAGCCTGCACCATCCAATGAATCAAAAGCATCTCCACCAACATCCCATAACTTGGATTCTCCTTTAATGTACTATCGACTTCTCCTTGATAGGAGACGAAGATTGTTATGCACAAAAACCAAATCTTCAGCACGTTGTGGTGTCATTTTGTTTCTTTTCATGGAGTGAATAAAAGAGTAGGTGCTCCAATTCCTTTCACAGCATGATGAGGAACATGGCTGGCCAAGCAATTTTAATGCTAAAGATTGAAGCATAGGAGCAAGAGACCCATGTGTAAACCACCAAATAAGTGGATCCAATACCCCTCTATCAATCTTTGAGTCAAAATCTCCAAACATATCCAAACCTCCTAAAAACTTGGCATATTCCACATTTACAACCCTTCTCTCCTCTAAATTTGGAAAGTATTTCTTGAAGCACTTGTTTCTCATACTTGAAATTTCTTCATCCCTATGAGGAGGGACACGATTGGGATTTTCATCAAGCCACGCTGAACTATAATACCTAGATTACAACATTAGAAAGTTTTAAAATTAAATTATGTTATTCATATTAAAAGACAAATGTCAACAAAGAAATGTAATTAGTAAGAGTATGAATTAAGCTATTACCTTGGATTCAAAGAATGTGCAAGGCAATGAAGAGGAGTGTTACTTTTGGACCACCTCTCAACTAGTATATTGTGCACAACGGAATAAAAGATTGATTCCTCATGATCTAGCTTCCCTTCATGCCTAAAGATGCTTGCCTTCACCTTTTCAATCATGGTGTCCCACATTTCATAGACTAAGTGAAGGCATGGTTTGTCAGTGTCACAAAACCTAAGCATCCCATAGATAGGCAATGTAAAAGGCAAAATGTAATCAATCTTATCCCACCACACATCATTCAATAATTTTTCCTTCACAGATGTGGCTTTCCCAACATCGTCTTCTTTGTAAGAAACCCACTGGTCACTAATAACCATTGATTGGAGGCCACGCTTTGTAAGTTTAAACCTTTTGAGCATAATAATGGCAGATGCGAAACGTGTATCTGCAACAGCAAGCAACTTCAAGGGTACAAATTCATTGAAAATAGCTAGCCGCATGGAATGGTTCATGATGAAGTTTTTGATAAACATCACATCATCAACACAAAGTGTGATCCAGTGACATTCATCATAAGCAAAAGCAGTACCCCCTGTTTCCTTTGGAGCACAAATGTTCTTAAGAGCAAGATTCAATGTGTGAACTACACATGGTGTCCAAAAGATATTCAGGTACTTACTTTCAATGAGTAAACCAGCTGCACTACACACGGGAGCATTATCTGTAATGACTTGAATGACATTCTGATGTCCAACTTCTTCAATTGATTGACTAATTAAGTTGGAAATAAAAAACTTGTCTTTATGCTCACCTTCACAATTAACAGCTTTCAAGAACACTGCCCCAGCTTCTGATGCTCCCATAAAATTAATAAGGGGCCTTCTTTGAGAATCAGTCCATCCATCTGAAACAATACTCAACTCCTTTTCCTTCCATGATGCTCTAATTGGCTCCAACATCTCTATATTAGCCCTTTCCTTTTGAAGCAATGTAGTCCTCAACAAGTTATAACCGGGTGGTACATAACCAGGAATTGGATTGTTGGCAGCAAATTGAAATGCACTAACATACTATGGGTTCCTTGATAAATTAATTCTTGCAAGGAGTTGTAAGGTGTAGCCTAGGAAGCACGGATACAGATACGGTGATACGACAAAATTTGAAAAACTAGGATA